AAAACATATATTTAATACTTGCGCCGGGTATTTAATGTTCGGCTCCGCCCGAACTTAGACTTTCTTACTTGTTATTATATATACTACTATTTTTCTGCTCGCAGTAATTTCCATAGAAGCACATGTGGTTCTGCGTGAATTAGTTTTTTTTTAGTGTTTATGTAAATAAAACTCTTTTGACCCTAAATTTAGTTATATTATGAAATTGTTCTTTAGTTTTTCCAAAAAATTAATCTAACTATTATTTTGGTTTTCTAGTAATTTCAAAAAATTGTAACCGTAAGCGCACATTACTAATTTAGTGCTCGCAGCTGTACTTGTTGATAGTACGGGTAGAGTTTTTAGTTGTTGATGTTTTTATGCATTTCGTTAGCTCGTCAACGTTATTTTTTGGAAGTTTTGATTGATATGGAGGAAAGATCAATCGAGTTGGTTGGTTGGAACTATCCAGAATTATATAATTTTCTTACAAAAAATATATAAATATCGGGTTTAAAAATCATATTGGAATAATCCAATTTCTTGTCTTGTGAACTCGTTTTCGCATTTCTATTCGATTTTCTTAATAGTGGTGAGCAACAAGAATTCACAATGCGAACTTAGCACAGTGCGTAGACAACTGGCTGAGTCAGTGGGATCGTCGGTTCGAATCCTACTGAAAGAATTCTGATGAGGAAATGTGGTGATTTCCGAAATAGCTATGCCTTCTACAATTTTTTCAAAATTATTGTTGCTTTTCCGCAATAAGTTTTTCTTAAAAACGGCCTCAAGCTCAACAAAAATTGTTGAATAAAAAATAAAAAAAAATTTGATTATACGACAACATTAAAATAAACAAAGATACACAGATCCAAACTACAGAAAGCCACAAAAAGAAATTAACTGAATTTTACTTACCTGCATAATAATGAAAATGGTGTAAGCAACTGATTTCTATACTAAACCCCAAACCCTTTCGACCAACCCAGTTGGAGTGGCCCACTTCCTGGGTCTCCCGTTAGTTGAGCTTGACGACAACGATTGGGGGACAACAAGAAGTGAAACACCTTTAAATTATTGTAGCATGCCCATATAATATGCAGGTATATATACCGTTATGCGAACCAAGCTTTAACAGCCTTGTGTACAAGTACGATCGGGTATTAAAATATCCCTGCAGTGAAAAGTCAAACCAGTTAGAAAAAAATACAAGTACATTAACGAGTATGTGCCTACCAGTCCGACCTTTTCGAAGAATTTAAGCGTTCAGCGACATCTGTCTTTGAATTGCCAAAACCAAGAAGTAATTTTTAGCAAGAAAAAAACCGACTTCAACTCTCATATAAAAAAAATAGGATCTTAACCAGATTAGTATGGGACCACCTCTGAGACACTACCTTTATCGAAATCGGTTGACGTGGTCCAAAGTTATGCGGTAACATACATAAAAAATAAATAAATAAATAAAAAAAAATATTCCGATGAACTGATAACCCCTTCCTTTTTTGGAAGTCGATTAAAAATAAAGCGCAATTAATTGCTTTTCTTACAAATGTCGTCTGTGGCGTCATGTGAAGACTACTGGCTTTGGTTTTGAGAACGCAGGTCCGAAGCCGCTTGGAGGTGGTTAAGATTTTCTAAAGTTAAATCAATATAAGTAGAAATAATTATTTAAATTTAAATATAATAATTAAGAAGTAACTTTAAATAAAAAAAAAAAATTAAATATAAATATCAAATTTGAAAACATAATTGCATTGCAGAAAACACATACATATGGCAAGAAAGCTTGTGCCATGAAAAAAAAGATATTAAATTTTTTTCAATTTAATTTAGAAATTGAACAAAACCCCTTCATAAAAAATTTAGTTACAGAAAAAATAAATAAAAAAGCTTACATAAAAAAATGAATTACAGAAAAAAAAATAAAAAAAAACTTAAATAAAATTAAAGAATTTTCCTTGCGCCAGTATTTGAACCTGAGACCTCACCATGCGATTGGTTTGCTCTGTCGGCCATTGCGCCACGAGCAAAAAGGCATACTTATGCTTTTCATGGAGGATGAATTGGCAGACTACCTCATCAACTTGTATGATGCTACTAGTATTTCTCCTAGTAGATGCTGATGCATAGCCTGACAATTGACATCTTGAAGGACATCGCAATGTTAACAAGTAAGAAAGTCTAAGTTCGGGCGGAGCCGACCGTTAAATACCCGGCGCAAGTATTAAATATATGTTTTTTCACCTTTCCGAAAGCTACCGCTAGATGGTAAGCCGGGGTGTATCAATTTTAAGTACATTAGCGTCCTTAAATTTCGAAATCTTGCAGTTTCAAGCATTTCTGAAATTTACCGTTATATGAAAAGCGGCCGTAATTTTAGTCCGATTCCAATAATTTTCAAGGTTTTGCTTATATGTGGCAAGCACAATAACCACACCGAGTTTGGTACAAATGGGTAGAACGGTTACCGATATACATATATATGATCATAAGTGGGCGGTACCACGCCCATTTTCCAAAATTTTACCATAAACGTATTTCTTAGTAAAGAATTGTTGCAAGCATCAATTTTGAATAAATAAGCTTCAATATTTACTGATTTATCGAAGATTTTGTATTTCTCTAAATTACCGTTATAAGGGATGTGGGCGTGGTTATTGACCGATTTTTTAAATTTTCGGCCATTTAGTATGCTGCATCAAGGCCAACAACTGTGCCAAGTTTTGAAGAAATTTTTGTAGCGGTTACCAAGATATACACATGTAACCATAAGTGGCCGTGGCTACGCCCATTTTCCAAAAATTTATAATATTCTTATTTTTCGTCTAAAAATTGTTGTAAATATCAATGTTGAGTGAATAATCTTCAGTAGTTACTAAAATATCGCAGTTTTCGTATTTCTGAAAATTACCGTTATATGGGAAGTAGGCGTGGTTGCTGAGCGATTTTAAAAATGTTCAGCCATTTGGTATGTTGTGCGAAGGCCAACAACTGTGCCAAGTTTGGAAGAAATTGGTGCAGCGGTTACCAAGATAGACACATGTAACCATAAGTGGGCGTGGCTACGCCCATTTTCCAAAAATTTATAATATTCTTATTTTTCGTCTGAAAATTATTACAAATATCGATTTTGAGTGAATTATCTTCAGTAGTTACTAAAATATCGCAGTTTTCGTATTTCTGGAAATTACCGTTTCATGGGAAGTGGGCGTGGTTACAGTCCGATTTCGCCCATTTTCAATACCAACCTACCTTGGATTAAGGGAAACCTACACATTAAATTTCGTTGAGATATCTCAATTTTTGCTCGAGTTATCGTGTACATGGACGGACGGACAGACGGACAGACGGACGGACAGACAGACATGGCTTAATCGATTTCTTTTTTCATTCTGATCATTTATGTATACATTTGTCTATATCTATCTCGATTCGTTTTGGCTGTTACAAACAACCGTTATGTGAACAAAATTAATATACCCTTGTGCACAAGTGCGCTCGGGTATAAAAATACCAGTCGCTAACATTGAAAAATGATAGAATGTGAACTAGTTGGGCTGAAACGCAAATTGGTAGAATTTTAGTTCACAGCTAGTAGCTGGCCCTGCAGGGATTTGACACACAGATTCACTGACTAAAAAACATAAACTCAATGATTTACGGTCATTTATTTAATATAAATATTTTGTTCTTATGTAAATATGTTTGTACACATACACCTACGTCAAAACTTAAAAAACGAGATTTTTAGGAGACGCGTTTTTAAGTTTTCAAATTACTCCCAAAATGGAGAAAAATGTTTGCACAAAATTTGAAGAATGATATATAACAAATAAAGGTGGCCGCAAACAGATGCGACACGATATTGTATTTGATGCGATGACGATAGAAAGCCAGATAAAAGGTCTGAAATATTAAGATATACAATTGTCTACTTTTTGTTCATATGGCCAATATAGGGTAACAATTGACGAGTTGAAGTATGATTTCAATTTCCGAACTCTACAATGAACAAGTCACTCCTCATATCGTGCGATCAATTGTGCTTGCTGTGTGATACAATTTTTGAAAGCATCGTAGCGCACCGGTATACCGCATCTGTTTGATTGAGGTCACCTTAATTCTGCATAATTTGCCGGAAAATTTCGTTTTTTGAGTTGTAACAGTCTTTTAGTAAATGAGCATTTGAACAAATTCAAATAGTATATGTAAATGTGTGAGTATACACATACATACATACCTACATATGTATGTATGTATGTATGTATTTGTCCCGAATACGAACAACGGCTTAAGTTAACTTACGGACCAATTTATTTACATGCACGCTAATATATTTTACTAGGAAGGTTTTAAATCTTACGGTACTAGTTATTAATTTTAATATTTGAAATTAGCATGGCTGCATGCATATCGCCAGAGCTGCGTAAATACAATTAAATTACAATAACATCAATATATCTCAGTAATTGTAATTAGGAATCAATTTCTTTAGTACACAGCAAAGGAATTGATTACTTTTTAAATTCCTTATAAGTAATTTCTAATGTATTTTTTTTCGCGCGTTCGCGGTAGGCTCCAGAAAATTTAACAGTTACCCATAAACTGAACAGCTACAAGTTAAGTTCTCCGGCTATCCTAAAGTCCAATTAGTGATACTATTTAGGTAAAAGTTGTTTATTCAAGGAAGTTGCAATTCAACAGCAATAAATAATTTAATTAATATTTTCGATGATTTTTTAAATTACTTTGAAGAATGGAACTGGAAGCAAAAATTTTGGTTTTTAATTCCGATCAACTGAATTGAAAAAAAAAATTCTTTCATTATCAAATCCTTTCAAAGGAATTGAAAAAAATCACATTACTAGCACATAATTACATACTTCCGATTACAATATGCAATTCCTTGTAATGGAATTTAAAAACAAACAAAAAATACTTTTGAAATTACTTCTAAGGAATGGAAAAAGGAATCAATTAAATTGAATAAATTGATTAGTGATTACAATTCCTTGTAATTTGCATTTAAGAGTAATTTAGTTCCCAAACGAATATTAACGAGCCAGCTCTGCATATCGCACACGCTCTTCAAAGGTGGCTCAATTCTAATTTGAAGGTTTGGAACTTTGCGCTAAAAATGTTTACAACAAAAGTTGGAGTAATTAGTTGAACAATTCTAAGGTAAAGACTCAATTGCCCATGTGCTATGAAATATTTTTTTCACGTATTCTGGTAAACCGGACATTTTGAGTTGCACCACCTATGAAATGGTTTTTGAAAGGGTTAATAAAATCGTATTGCATTTTTCAATCATATCAGAACAATTTCAAATATAAAAAGCGTTTTTTTCTAAATTTTGATATTATACTTTGGCGGTTATTTCCTGTAAATGCAGTTATTTTTTGTAAAAAAATACAAAAAAAACTACTACGAACTATTGCTACTAGGTATCGAACAGAAAATATGTTACACACATGTATACTAAGTATATTGTGCATAGCCGGCATAATGATTTGTAGAAAATGTTGAATCGAAATTTCTTTTTCGTAACACTGAAGTACGCTGTGCTACTGTCAGGATATTTCCCCACCCAATTTGTACATAATTTCAAATTATACTAATTTATGAATGTTTTAATTATAAAAAAAAACAGTTTGATCTTTTTATAGAAGTAAATATTTCTAGATTTTGCTTATACTGAAAATATTAAATAAACTATATACATATTAAGCAGGCTTCCAATACTTAGCTAAAATCATCTGACAAAGTATATTTTCACACACCTGGCAACAATATTCTTCCTATTTCAATATGAAATTACATCTAGTTATGCTAGTTTATTTAAAGGTATTTCTTCGGCAGGCTGCACTTGATCCTTTGGTTCAGGTTTTCGTGTACGACAACATTTTGTCTTAATGCCGCCCACATCTTTGCGACAAATTATGCCAATAATGATTCCAACAATCGCTATTATAATAATACCTTAAAGAAAGCAATTAAAAACGATTGAAATCATCTAGACATCAGTGATTATGCTACTTACATATAAGCAAGAGGTTAACCATTTCCTGAGAAATATGTACTTGATGGCTGTTCTCAGTCTCAACAATCGATTTGACAGTAATATTCTCAACTACTGTATTTGCTACATCTCCAGAGCCGCTCAAAATGCTGGCAGTTAGTATTTTGGGCGTCGTTAGAGAGTTATTAGCACTTTCTTCAAGTACCGAAAATGTCGCAGTCGTCGTCACGCCCAAAGTGTTGTTTACTTCAGGCATCCTAGTATCTAATAATAATAAATAATTAAAAAAAAGCGCTTTCTGCTTTGCACAGCTCATATGTACATACTTCCTTCTTGAATTTCCTTCTGTTTCACGATTGATGCAGTATTTGTTGGTTTGGACGTAGCCGCCTTTGCCGTTTTGTTCTGTACGCCACTTGCTTTGTTTATGGCTTCTCCCTTTTTCGGCGTTGCTTCAGTAGTTGTATCTTCTGGCACCTTTGTTGGTACTATGGCTATCTCCGTCGACAGGTAGGGTGGATCTGTCACCAGAGTAATACTATCATTATATGATGTCCCCAGTACTAGTTCAAAGCAGCTAATTTCAAAGTTTCTAAAGCCTATGTTGTCAATAGTTTTTAGTAAATTACACAGTTCGGTGACTTCTG